TTTTTCTTGGGAAAACCGACTGGATTGCTAATGCAGCTCCCTTTAACCTTTTGGCTGGCCCAGATTTGGGTGTTTTCCAAAGGAGCAAACTCATAGTTATTACTACATTCACTTGCTACTAGGTCAGTCAGATTTATGACATTCATACCCCATATTGGCACTCACGTACCATCAAGCCTGTGCCATGTTGGAGCAGTCTGGCTAAAGCAACCACAAACTGGTGCAGCAAGATCACAAAATGGCCAAAACTGTCTGATTTAGACACATACCTTCACTATTATAAGTAATGACTGCACACAGACCGCCCTTAACCCCTGTGGGAATAACTTCAGTGCATAACTTTGTGTACCTTCAAATAAGCCTGAAGGTGGCTGACAGTGTTAGATGGCAGAAAAATAATCTGAAATCTCCCCATACCCATCTGAGCATCCTGCAGGCCTGTGGCTCTGAGCAGCAGGGGGTGGAGTTGGTCTCACCTGGGATATTAATTCTAACATCCACTGTCTCTAACAAACTCACACTTCTCTTAGGGTATGTCTACACTACAGGATTAATCCGAATTTAGATAATTCGAATTTGGGAAACAGGTTGTATAAATTCGATTGTGCGTGGCCACACTAAGCACCTTAATTCGGTTTTAAACCACATTAATTCGGTGGTGTGCGGCCACACTACCCCATTAACTTAAACACAGTAATTCGGTGGTGTGCGTCCACACTAACCCTAATTCGAATTAACAAAATCGATTTAGGCTCTACTCCGTTCGTCGAGGTGGAGTACAGAAATCGATTTAAAGGGCCCTTTAATTCGAATTAACTGGCTCTGTAGTGTGGACGGGTGAAGGGTTAATTCGGATTAAGGCAGCTAAATCCGAATTAAAGTCCTAGTGTAGACCAGGCCCAAGTGAGTGGGGTGAAGATAGTCTTCCACTAGTATCCATGTCAAGCTAAAAAGCTTTTCAAATGGCTGTCGTACAAAGCCAATCCTTCCAATGAAGTTATTGCCCCCAGCATTTGCGGAGGAATGACTGATCCACTCTTACTTTCATGCAAGTCAACTATTTTTGTGAGTTATCTGGAATAGATTGAACAGTTAACTCCTTTGTGATTAATGTCCAGTGTGCAAACTGGAAACAGCTAATAGCAAATGTTCCTGTCTGTTTCCTCTAGCCTGTCTGATAAGATAGGAATTAATGGTCTTTGTGTCAGTAATAGACTAGCTGGGTTTTTCAGAATACAGTGGGTGCAAATGGGACCGCAAGGTGGGAAGCCACAGTATGCAGCAGAATTATAAATTGGGAGAAACAAACATGTCAACATAGCAGCATTACTCCAGGTAATTAGGCCTGGCATAATTTATCTTTTTGTAGTTGACAGATATTAAAAATAAGCATTAATGTCTTATTAATGTAAACTTTCACAGTTGTAGGAAATTATGGGGAGTGTCAAATTTAATGACAGATGTTGAGATTCAATTTAACTGTAAAACATTTCAACCTCATGTCAAAAGATCACTACATTCTCAGGCAGCACTTTTCTTTCTTTGCCTGTCTGCAAATTTGGACTCTAAAAATATTTTTCCTTGGCTTGTGTATGGTGGAATTGACAATTATTGGCATTTAACAATTAAATGTAATCCTTCCATGCCGACAGACAGTGATTGGATCTTTAGTGCTCCAGTAAGGCTTACTCTGAAGAGTAACTTTACCAGACTGCTATAATACTGATCTCCACTAGGGCATTATAAGAATGGGATACAAATAATCCTTAATCTAGTTAAAGGACTTCTGTGAAAACTTGACTCCACCATAGGCTGCTACAACTAGTAAAAATCATTGTTACTGCACCCCCAAAAGCCTCCTTTTTGCTTCTGCATGTGTAAAATCCTCACTTTCCCTGAAGTGTGGGTGGGGTGAGTTCACCAACTGTCTCCGGAACTCTAGCCTCTACTTCTCACAATTCATTTTAAGTCGAAAGTCTGTATTCTGGCAGGTATGAAGAACTCTGTAGCTGCAACTTGCAAGTGTCTTTGGCATAATGGTGTGAAAGGGAACAGTAATAAGCACTGTCTATTTATCAAGACAAGATGTACTCAATTTTAAGGTACTCTATTGGGCAAGCAATATTCTGACCCTTAAAGGCACTAGGGTGCTTGGGTTTGTGTAAGATTGGGGTGCTTTGCTCACAAACTAATGTGAGCTAGTGCCATGTGTGTTCAAAACAAGTATATAGCCACTTGGAAAGATAGTTACAAGCTATTTGCTACTGGTCTCTTCCGTGACACTGAATCATGACATCTCTCAAAGACAATAGCTTATGCAACTACTTCATTGTAAACTGTATTAATGGGGCTACAACTGTGGCAATCCCACTACCAAAAACATGCATGCATTCAAGATGAATAGCAAAAGATCACTTCCGCAGGATATCGTGCACACTAATGGATCAGTGTTATGATCATAAGCTTCCGTCATGTGGTTCGTCAAAGGCTGTATTAGGTACTTTTGAAGCACAGTGGTGCCATGTGAGTTCTGACAGTAACTGTACTACACTTTGGCTAGAACTCTTCCGGTGGGGAAGGAGACTATAACGCTTGTGCCCAGCCTGTCTCTGGCTCCAACTGTAGCTGAATAGCAAGCAGTGTCTGTAATGACTGATGGGAAGTACTCAAATAGTAACGTTCATGATCAAGTACTTCTACTGTGGCTGCCAGAAAGCAGTGTCCTGTGCTGCTTCAGTACACAGATGGCCCCACTATCTGTTAGTAACTTACTTTCAACCTTCAAGTACAGCCGCGTAACTCCAACTACGTTGTGCTACTCTGATTAGTCAGTGGGATTAAAGGCTTTCTGTTTGGGTATAATCTAACTGCAATTAAAAGGTCATGGAGAAACCTTGACCATGAGGTGTGCACAGTGTCTGAACAGTGTAATCCCTTTTCTTGATCAAAAACTGAACTAGTCAATGTCTACAGACAGACTCTTTGAATCAACATGCAGATTAAATGTCTAGTTAGACTTTGCTGTGTCTGAAAAGGCTGGCAATTCCTCGGGTAGCACAGCAGTACAGAAACCTGGCTTTGCTATTTGTGCTACTTGTCTTGTGTTCCAAGGATGGCCATTGTCTAACCAGATCTACTGAAAGGCCTGGTCTACACTACCCCCCGACTTCGGACTAAGGTATGCAAATTCAGCTACGTTAATAACGTAGCTGAATTCGAAGTACCTTAGTCCGAACTTACCGCGGGTCCAGACGCGGCAGGAAGGCTCCCCCGTCGATGCCGCGTACTCCGCTCGCCGAGCTGGAGTACCGGCGTCGACGGCGAGCACTTCCGGGATTGATCCGGGGCACTTCCGGGATCGATTTTATCGCGTCTTAACCAGACGCGATAAATCGATCCCAGAACATCGATTGCCTGCCGCCGGACCCTACGGTAAGTGTAGACGTACCCAAACATTATGGTCATACTTGAGGGTGGGAATGTCAACTGGGATACCCTCATATATATATCTCCTGCTCTTGTAATAAATTGTTCCTTGTTTAGTTTTGCTCTCAGGTAAACTCTTGGCTGTGCTTTAAGAAGCTTTCATGTTAACTTCATGGTGTCATAAGTTTTTTAAAAAGTGACCAAAATTCACTAGTCACCTTTGCCACAACTGCCTGTATGCCACAGATACATATCTCTACCTGCATACTGAGCCTTCTGTAGGAAGGTGACCTCTGAACACCTGTCTGGGCCAAAACTCTCCTCCAATACATTCAATAGTCTGCATCCTAGTAGTCTGCTATTGTCTGAGGGAGACTGGGCAGACTGGTACTTTCAAAGCATCCAGGGTGGGTTGATTTAATTCAAGGCAATTTAAATCACCAAGTGGGAAGCCTCAATAAAAAAAATCTATTTTAATTAACTTTTCCATTTGTACTCTTTTTCTAAAGAGGTGCAGTAAAGCATATTGACTTACAACTAATAGAGCCTTTACACTAGATTTGGCACATCTTGCTACCTAGGAGGGCCAATTGTAATTATAAATGTTTACTTAAGCAATTTTAGCTTAATGTTTTCATATTCCTGTACGCTTAATATGTTAGAAAATGGTGAATATTGCTTATTCACTAAATCAACTTTTTGCTCACAATTTGTCAAGTTGCATTAGGATGGTAATTGGAATTTAATTAAACAGCATATACATTGTTTTGTTTAATAAAATAAAACCTTAAGTATGTTCAGTACATAAGTGCTCATCAAAACATGCTTCACATTTACAACTATTTATAACAAGCTTAGGCCTTAACATATTGTATTAAATTTTAGATTTCATTTTCAACAGGTTTATTTAAAAAACATGCAGAATCCAATTTTTTTCAAAACTTTTGTCCATCTGGCAAAGCATGGTGGGAGTAGTGAGTGATATAAGGGAGATCTCATCAAAGAATAAGTAGGTGAGATCTTGCATGGAAATCACAAACTACATTCTCAATGAACAGCATTCATTTAAACAAGTCTGCCTTGCCTAGCAAATGTTTTCCCTGTCTTCTGGAAGGCAGCTCAAAGGGCTAGTTGATGTTCCTCAAATTAGTCCATTTCTCTTGGGTTGGAAACCAAGCACTCTGCTGCATTTGCAGGGTAACTATTGTACAGCAATCCACCTAGATCAAGAGTAGTGGACTGATGGATCTGGTTTTGATTGTCCAAGAAGAATGGAATCTTCATTCAGGATGCATATTGCACTTGACTTGCCTCTAGTCTGATGGGCTCCTTCATGTAAGCACCTGCAACTGAATAAAACCCAGAACTAAAGAGGCTGTTTTCAGTCTGACTATATGTAGTAAATCAACCCAGAAAGTGTGGCCATTCTTATGTACTGAATGGCAACAAATGCTTGCTTTTTGGGGGTGGGAGGTCCTAATGGTGGTGCACTTTTTTGTGTGTGGAGTATCTTTTATTTTTATTAATCACTCTTGTGCTACTCTGTTCACTAATGTGGTCCTTTCTCTTTAAAGCAAACTACAAATCTCAACCTTCCTCCTGAAGACCTGGACTCATCTGGCGATGATGAGGATGCTTTCTCTGGCTCTGGCGCTGGTGAGTGGACTTGTATTGCTGCTCGGTTGTCATAAATTCTTTAAGGTCATGACTCTTGGTGCACAGCTTAGCAAAGATGTGTCCTGGCTGCTGTTTCCCTAGAGCAAGGTAACTTGAAGTGTCCAGTATCTTTCCCTTCAGGAGCACTGTGCTCCTGACAGTCATTTTAGGCTGTTTTACCTCTTAAGCACAAGCAGAGAATTGAGAATTGAAGTGGGCTTCCAAAAAAGTATCTGTTCCTGGTGGAAATAAACGGGATCCCAGAGATGTCTACAAAGACCTCCTACCCATATCTGACTTGTAAGGTCACTAATGTGAAACCACTGTAGTTGCTCATGCATTCATGGAGCAAGTGAAGGAAACAAAGTAGGGGTGTTAAAGAAGTTATCCCATCGATCTGTTTTGGATTATGAGGGAGGGAAGGAGCTGGATGAGAACTCCTACGTCACAATTCCTCTGCCATAACTCACTCAGGCTGCCTGGCTCTGGGCTCCTGACAGACCTCACTAGACTATCAACTTCTAGTAGTGACTTCCCATGGGAGGCAGGACTAACTATATACCCCATAGTGTCAAAGGAGGCCTTCAGTGGAATTGGACTCTGGTAGGCATCCCCCATGCTGGGTTCTGTTTCTATTGTAGCAGCTCCTAGATGCCCAATGAGGATCTCCATTTATGCTAGACTTATCCAAATAGGGCAGTCCATGTCCCAGAAGACTTATGATCTAGGTATTAAGCAATGGTTAAACTTGCTGTACAGTGATACAGGTCATAGAAAACGGCTAGAGACCGTAACTGGGTGCAATTTTCTATATACCACTAATGCCTATTTAATCTGATCCAGACTTTGGCTCCCCCAAAAGAAATAAAACTTCCTCAAACTGGCCCATGAGGATAAAATGACTTTTCATCCTTCTGGTATGAAATGCTAATCCCTTTCCTAAATTAAGATTAATCTTCAGTATTAACTTCTGATGTCTGGCTACTCTGTCAAATTTGGTGTTCCTGCCTATACTATTTCTCCCTTTACCCTTCTTCCCATTCCCAGCTACCTGCTTTAGATGGGATATCCTCACTGGTAGGGTTGAGGGTAGGAGAAAGGTGGGAAGCAGTGCTGAACAGTCTTCTGCCGTTGAGTATTGGGATCAGTTTAATGATGGGTAAAATTAGTTGGGTTTTATCAGACTTGCATTTGACTCCTTGCCCCACAGGGCAATTCTAAGTTACTAGCAGATCAAAAGTAGTTAACACTTGTGAACTTACAGGTCAGTGTGTTACAAAAAGGAATGTTTGGCCTTGATAAGTGGGCTGCTCTCCCTCCTTGGCAGGAGTTCTAACAACGAATAGTGTACTGACTTGGCAGTACTTGAGTAACCAGCACATCCAATCTTGGGGTGATTTTGGGGGTGATAGGGCACTGTGAAGCAATCTAATTGCTTTTGGGTCTAATCCAGGCCCTACAGTAAGTTGCCTTTTAATAATAAGGCTAGCACACCACACCACTTACTGAGCTGCTTGTACTTGTCTGCTATTGAATCATCTGTACATCAGTTAATGCTTAACATTCTTGTGTAGGTCCCTTGACCGACCATCCTGTGGTTGCCTTGAATATCCCCTTAGAACATGCAAATTCGTCATCAAGGTCAACTATGTCTACTGGAGCAACTGTTCACCAACCTGCAGTTCATGGCACGGAAAACCCAGCTGAAAAGGAAACTGTATCATCCCCCACTAGTGATATGGTGCCAGATGAGGCTGTCCTTTCAGATAAGGATGAAACTCACAAACTGGGCTCAGCTGCAGAGAAACCTACAACAAATGAGGCAGCCCTAACAACAAGTCCAACTACTCACAGTCCTACTGTCAGAGTAACCACTGCACAAGCCTCAAGCACAGTCCACGTAATTGAACCTAGTATCCATAGCTCTAGTTCATCTGGTGTCTCTAAAGAAATATTTGATCCCAACTTCACCACTATTAGTGAGGAAGATGTTCACTCCCCAACTACAGCAATTCTACCCAGGGGCATATACCCTATAGATGAGAAGGAAGCTCCATTTCCTGAAGAAAGCTCTGGGGATCAGGTAAGAATTAAGTTTCAATCTCAAATGTAGATCTTTGCCATATCCAATGCTAAAGCCATACAACAGTGCTGGAATGTAGTAACTTTGTGCCACTCCACATATGAAGCTAGTTTCTTTTCTTCCACACTATTATGATGCATCATAAGCTGTTAACTGCTGGGTGTGGGGAAAATTCTTGTGCTATCAGTTGAAGGGAAATATTAAAAACTACTAATATAACAAAACAAGGTCAATGTAAAGTTTCCAGTAACTCCATCAGTGAGCTGAAATGTGACTGACTTGCACTGTATCTTTCCCACAGGGAGACTTTATCTTTAGTGAAGAACGAATACCATCGGAATCTGAACTGGTTGACTCTTCAAGAGATGCTGAAGCTGCTGGAACTTCCCAGGGGTTAATGGACAGGAAAGAAGTTCTAGGAGGTATTTCAAAATACACTGAATGCTATAGAAGGTCCTGTGTAGTCCTCCTAATCGGTGGCTGCCTAATCTGCTATAGGATCCACCCAATACTGCAGAACCTCGACTCTCTAGTTATCAGAGCTCAAGATATGTTTGGAAACCTGAAAACACTAAATCAAGGCAGTATTGCACAATATGTAGATGCCAGATCCTCAAGCTTCTTCTAGTCAATATCTAGATTAATGCATTGCTAATAAAAACAGGCATGTTGCAAATTGAACGTGGGAACAATGTAAAATCAAACCTGATCTAGTATGTAGAGACTGTCCTTGGTAAAGTAAATGAAGCTGCTGCAGAACTGCTCTAGCATCAGAATGCTGCAGAGTTTCAATCCAGTTACTCTAAGGTACATGTTCAAGTGGGTGGTAATACACTGAGGGAAAACTTCTACTCCCAAGCAAGGATGGAGTAAAAACCTCTTGCAGTACTAGAGCATAGCCTGTTTGGTAGGAGTCCTGGCTTAGGTACAGTGGGCTCCAGGTAATGGAGGAAGGAACATGGATGACTGTATCTTCAAACTTTCATTTTTGGGAAGGAATTGAAAGCCTCTGTAGGGGAGGCTTTCAGAGGACCGCTAGGTGCTCAGTTCCCATTGAAAGCTTAAAAAGTGAAGTACCCAATTCCCATTTGACTTTGAAAACTCTCTGGATCCTATTAAATCACTTGATTATGAAATGCCTTTATAGTACTGGTCTCTGCTCCTACTAGTTAACTCTGGAATAAATTTCAGTCAGAATGTCTCTCTCCTGCATAGTGTCTAATGTGACTTTTCCCCCCCCACACAGGTGTCATTGCTGGAGGACTAGTAGGCCTGCTCTTTGCAGTGTTCCTAGTTGGATTTATGCTGTACAGAATGAAGAAAAAAGATGAAGGCAGCTATTCATTGGATGAACCAAAACAATCAAATGGAGGATACCAAAAACCACAGAAACAAGAAGAATTCTATGCATAAACACTAGTCTTCAGAACACTTCCCCTCTCTCTTGAACTCTTCTCCTGTCCCTGCATACAACCTGCTTGTGGTTTTTCTGCATTAAACTCAAGCCATACAATCGTCAGATATAACCCCTGCCACCTTGCCACTGGAAACTAACTACAAATTACATCTGGATTCCTGGAACCTAGCCAGCTTTCTTGCACAAATGTATATTTCTTTTTTAAAAAAGGAAGTGGAACATGGGACTGCAAGCCACTAAGCTTGCTTTGGCTTATCTAAGGACTCCTGGGAGGGAAGGAGATGAGGGAGAGCTGGAATGTATGTATATAACTGACCTTTAGGAGAACAGCAGGAATTAACAGCTAACAAGGCTTAAATTATCCGTACTAAAGATCCTTGTTAAACTCTCATGGCCTCCACTGTGTGTATAGTGTATTAGAAAGTCTCTACTGCATTTGACCGACCAACAGCTGGTACCTCATGGTTCTTGCACTCTTTCTAGTTGCCATGATCATAGCACTTAATAGTGGCCATAAGATGCCAACTGGGAAAAGGAGTGGAGGGGCGAGGCAAGCAAGTATTTGATCACTGGGTTTGGGATTTTTAAGAGTACTAGGAATGAGCTCCTTTAACAGTGGGATGCATGTACTGTTAATTTTAACCTAGAATTTAAATGGCATCTGAGCATCATATCCCCACTCTGCTCCTTTTGAAGTTAAACCAAGAAATGACTTTTGGGAACAAACCATTATCTAAACCATCCACATAAGTGCCAAGTCAAGACTAGTCTTACTGGCTCAAATATGTTCAAGTCTTTATATGAGAAATACCTTACTGTGTTCCACACCACTGTGGGACTCTGATGGGCAACTGGTGCCATATCCTAGCTATCTACCTCTCTGCATTGTCCGTTTGTAGTGGTGACTTTGAACTAGGTCTGCTATGAGTGCCATCAGACCTTGTGTACAGTACATGGCACATAAGGTACGAAAAACCAAGCAAACTAAGTATCTCTGGCTTCTTGTACTGCCAAAGACCAAGGAGCAGAGAAGCATATTAACTAAACTAATCCTTTCTTGCAGCTTAGAATGGTTGGTTGTGGTGTTTTATTGGCTCTCACTAATATCTACTATATAAGTGCTTAGGTCTTTAACTTCAGACCCAATTATGTCAGGATATTTTCAGTTTTCGTATAGAGGTGAGCATTAGCAATGGATAATTGTCATCTCCACAGTATCACCCGGCTAGCCTATGGAGCCAAGTCATTAGGTTGCTTACTGATTAGAATAGGCCTAAGAACAGGAACACTTCCCAAAAGTCTCTTGTTTGGATAAAAGTACAGTTTTGTGAATGGGTTTTTCAAATACAATAGTCCTTAATGACATATACTAAGAGTAGATGCATTCAGTTGTAGCTTGTACAGGATAATTCACTTCAGTGTCTATCTTACACCACAAATTTTTAAGAACTTTGAAGGAAATCTTAATTTCAACACAGACCTTGCCTCTGCTTTGCCAACTAGATTGTGGTTTTTTTTTTTTTTTATTTCTTGTTTTAATTTTTTAACTCTTTTTCTGCTCATAGTGAAGGTATAGGGGAGGGAGAGAGTGTTTACGATGTAAATATTTATATTGCCAAGCCAAAGAAAGTGATCCAAGAACACTTGCTGACAGAGGCACATGTGTTGCATGTTCAATTTGGATTATTTTTCAAAAACTTAAATGGTGTAGGTCATTCCTGAATTGCTAATTGAGTAAATTGGTGCCTTCTCAATTTCTCAATAAAACCAAGAAAATACTTGCTTCATTTCAAACTCTCTGGACAAGAGATTGCCTTGATGTATGAATGTAGCTGTGTTAACCTTCTTAAAGACAAAACTGAGATGTCCATTACTGCCTTTATTTTTACACTGAATTTTTATAAATTAATGCAACAACCAGCCTGTGTTAATTATAGCTGTAATTCTTTGCTTTGTATAGGAATGTAGAAATGCTGTTAACAGGCTTTTCTATGAGAATTCTTCTCATAAACCACAGGAAACTATATTTAAAAGGGCAACTTCAGTTGTACTGCCAACCTTTCTACAGGCCAAGAATAACTGTATATTTTGGTAATCTAAATGGATAACTAGAGTTATTGACATACAGGAAGTTTTGTATTTAAGTGGTGCAATTAAATATAATTTTAATGGAATATACTTCAGTTGGTTATCTGTACACATGCAATAAATGGCGTTTTGGCAAATAACTTGTGATCTACTGTGTCAGCCTACCTGGGAGCTCTCCTATTTTCCCAGAATGTCACACGTAACCATAAATCCTGGAGTTCTTTGAAGCTTGTTCAAGGGCATAGAGCTACACAAGCAGCTTCAGCCCTGAAAGAGCATTTGAAGAGTAGGCCCTGGAAGTCTAGCATGTTCTCACTTCATACTAGCAGGGAGAAGCACTTTCTTAACCAGAAACACAGTTCAGAGGCAGAGCAGTTTAAGTACTGAGCAGAAGTTGGAACAGAGCCACCTGAATCTCTGTGGCTGTCAAAGGTCTGAGCAGCTGTTGGCAACCAACCTGCTGTTTCAGATTCCTTCTCCCTATTCTGAGAGTTGTGCTTTTCTATTGGTTTCTGGATTTTTGGGCCGCAGACATAGTGCCAGACATTTTGAGGTTTCAAATAGGCTGCTCTTGCCTGAGTGGTGCTAGTGCACAGGAACTGGCTTGGATTTGAGGATGGTGATAAGTACTTGGCTTTAGGAGCAGAGGGAGTTGAATGGGTTTCTACATGTGACTCTACACTGGGGGAGTTTTTACAGCGCTGTAACTCGCAAGTTAGCCAAGGCCTATGTCTACGCTAGCAGTTTGTCTCTGATCAGGGGTGTGAAAATAACCCCCTGACTGACATAAGTTTCACTGATCTAAGTGCTGGTGTAGACAGGACTATGGCAGTGGGAGATGCTCTCCTGCTGACATGGCTACCGCCACTCATGGGGGGTGGTTTAATTATGCCAACAAGAAAGCTCTTTCCCATTGTCATTGGCTACACAGGAGACCTTATAGTGGCACAGCTCCAGCAAGATCTGTAGTATAGACACAGCAAAATTATGAATTTTCTCCTAGGCTCCACTTCTGAAAGTGGTATACTAGTTCCCCTTGAGGATGAGGACTGAGAGCGATTGCTTTGTGAAAAGTGTTTGCCAACAGGTGTTTGCTCTTGAACAAACTCATGATAAAAGACAGTGATTATCTGGTTTCACCCACACAGTTGCTATATGAATAGAGATGCTGAATTTATGGCTTATTACAACAATCTATAATCCATTTAAAAAGCTCAGTTGCTTCCCTCCATCCCCCCTTCCTTTCCTACCTATGACTGGAGAGGCATTAATGGGCCACTTCACCTTGAATAGTCCCTTGCACCTGGAATGATCCCTTGTAAAGTGTTAAGTACTTGTGCTAAACAATCTGTCCCACCTTGTATTTAGCAGTGACTTTGAGTTAGGTCATGTCTACACTACCACTTACATTGGCAAAAACTTATGTCACTCAGGAGTGTGAAAAAACACCTCCCTGAGTGACATAAGTTTCACTGGCATAAGTCAATGCAGTAATGTCGCATGAGGCATCATCGATGTATGATGGAACTTGCAAGCCTATTGCTGATGTCTGTGGTGTCTTAGCCAGAACCAGTAGGTTTACAGCCTAAAGGCTTAGCACAAAGTGATACACTACAGGTAAAGAGAGGCATGGGCTGCCTGGTTAAGACTAAGGAGGAGGTGGTGTAATCCCATTTTGCTCAAGTTGCTTATTCACTGTCTTGGGGTGCATCCATCTCAGCAAATGGCATCATTGACCATGGGGATTGTTAGAGAAGAGGTCATAGTATCTATCTCTGAGATTTGAGTTTGGGTCACATGCCTTATTCAATCAAAAATTTCTCTCCCCCCCCCCCCCCCCCCCCCCCAAAAAAATCCTCAGCCATTCTAACTATGTATTCTAGATCTTCTGGCATGAAGAAAAGGATCAGGGTTTCTCTATCTTTATAAGTTTCAAAGTAGCAGCCATTTTAGTCTGTATCCGCAAAAAGAACAGGAGTACTTGTGGCACCTTAGAGACTAACAAATTTATTTCAGCATAAGCTTTCATGGGCTACAGATCACTTCTTCAGATGCATAGAGTGAAACACAGACAGAAGATATTTATACATACAGAGAACATGAAAAGGTGGAAGTACGCATACCAATTGTAAGAGGACAATCAACTGAGATGAGCTATCAGTAGCCGCAGAAGAAAAAACTTTGAAGTGATAATCAAGATGACCCATAGAAGGTGTGAGGAGAACTTAACATGGGGGGAAAAAAAATTCAATTAGTGTAATGACCCAACCATTCCCAGTCTCAGTTTAGAAGTAAGTTAATTGTGTCTAATTTGCATATTAATTCGAGTTCAGCAGTCTCTCTTTGGAGTCTGTTTTTGAACAGTTTTTTTGTTGCAAAACTGACACCTTCAAGTCTGTCACTGAGTGATTAGAGAGGTTGAAGTGTTCTCCCACTGGTTTTTGAATGTTATGAGTCCTGATGTCAGATCTGTGTCCATTTATTCTTTTGCGTAGACTGGCCAGTTTGGCCAATGTACATGGCAGAGGGGCATTGCTGGCACATGATGGCATCTATCACATTGGTAGATGGGCAGGTGAACGAGCCCCTGATGGTGTGGCCGATGTGGTTAGGTGCTATGATGGTGTCACGTGAATAGATATGTGGACAGAGCTGGCATCGGGCTTTGTTGCAAGGATAGGTTCCTGGGTTAGTGTTTTTGTTGTATGGTGTACAGTTGCTGGTGAGTATTTGCTTAAGGGTGGGAGGCTGTCTGTAAGCGAGGACTGGTCTGTCTCCCAAGATCTGTGAGAGTGAGGGATCATCTTTCAGGATAGGTTGTAGATCTTTGATGCGCTGGAGAGGTTTCAGTTGGGGGCTGAAGGTGGCGGCGAGAGGCGTTCTGTTTTCTTTGGTGGGCCTGTCCTGTAGTAGGTGGCTTCTGGGTACTCTTCTGGCTTTACAGCATGAACACAGCTCCTGGACCAGAAGATCTTATCCTAAATTCAAACAGGTGATAATCTCACAACAGGGAGGGCATGGTGTAGGTACTGTGCCTAGCACAATGGTGAGCTGGTCCACAACTGGGGCTCCTAGGTACTATGATTATACACATAATAAAAGACAGTCACT